CCTCCTGATGTCAGTTATCCTGGATTTCAATAATTTCACCAATTATTCTATTATATTAACTTCTTAAAGCTTTTTCATGGCTGTCTAAGCAGAGAGACCCTGTGTAAATGGCCCTGTGGTTCCTGAAAACCACAGTCCCTCTATCAGCTCCATGACTCTCTTTCTAAAGTCTCAGGATCTCCAAGTCCCAGGATAGAAAAGCATCTTCCCAACACTTTCGTCTCCTTGGTCTCCTTGAAGGTCAGGAAGCCAGAGGTACACAGGGCGAGTGCACCACCATCAGCGTGAACACCGAGTGCACTCTTACAGGACGTGCAGCTGGGGGTCCCTTCCCAGGGGGATATGTGGCCCCAGACCCCATGGCCATCTCCCCAGGAAGAAGAGAACACCTGCCCCTCACTGCTGTCCAGCTGCCCACAGAGCTCAGCACCTGCAGGCTCAGGAAGGCAAACACTGAGGTCTGGGCCTGAAGGTGACGGGAGGTGGGGTCAGGTTTCCTTGTCCTCAACTTCCTGGTGGAGACCCAGGGGACGGTTTCTGCAGGGCAGTGACGTGCTGTGGGGACATGCAGGCCGCTGAGGACAGCCATGCAGTTGTTCACAAATGACATCAACTTTGAAACACAATTAGGGATCTAATTTATAATATTGACAGATTGGAGATTCTGGTGGATTGTCAGGCAGTGGGTGTCAGAGGAGAATTAAGGGGTTATTTTAATTCTCTGCTTTGAGGAACATGCATATGGACACTTCACTAAATACAGTGGGACTGACAATATACATTTACATCTTCCCACTGTTATGTTCACACACCAGTAGATTTAGTTATCATTCACTCAGTTATATATTGACTTCAGCACTTGTCCACATATCATTGAAATTGAGCAGTTCCAAATATACCCTGGTGAGTTCACTAAGAGTAAAACATGTTCCTTCCCCCTCTGTGAAATCACAGCCCCACACTACTGACACGGTCCCTTGTCCCTGCCACGGTGGCTCTTCCCGTGCCTGTTAGTCACCTGCACGAGGAGCCCACCTGAGCTTGTCATCACCACAAGTCCTCAGGTGGGACACTGGGAAGGACCCAGTTAGGACAGTGGGTGGGGCTGTTCCTGCGTGTGCTCCTTGCTTCCAGGGCCAATACAATGACTACAGATTCAGGTGATACCTGCATCCTGCTGACCTGTGCCGTTTACTATGGTCAAATATGCATCATTAAAGCTACTACAAAGAGACAAATGGACAATTGGTAAGAAAAGAGTTACAGACAGACAGAAAATACCATGCAAAATGTCACCTATATGAAAATACATATGCAGGAACCTCAATTTTCTATATTCTTAGGTAAATACTATCATGCAGACAATCACACATGTTCTCATTACTAGAAAGAGGTTCTGTCCTCTACTGTCCTATTCTCACTAAATCCATCCTAGACCCTGAGCTCCATGGGGCTGGAGCTCAGCTCACACTCCCAGCTCCCCCACAGTACCCATCACAGAAGGGAGATCCAGTAAATACGTGGAAGGTACTGAGGGAGGGAAGAGATGGTTCTTGGGGAATTAAGTTATGAAGAACCAGGAATGTACCACAGACCCTCACTCCTGCCTCCCTGACTGGAACCATGTCACATGACACCTGATAGGGAAAATAAGACTGAATTGACGTGGTTGTCCATTTTCTCATATAAAATTAATTAGCGTCAATAACAGGAGGTGATTTAAATTTTTCTGTAATCAGTGGATAAGGAAACATGATGCTCTTTATATAACTAGTGACTTCATGATAAAGGTTAATCCATCTTAGAGATTTCCATCAAGATGTTCACTAGTTTAAAAGCACAGACTTGCAACGAGCAGTAAATAAACCTGAGAGTTCTAATGTACAGTGTCGTGAATGTAGACAACAACACTGTATTATATTCACCAACTTTCTAAGAGAGTACGGCTTGGTTATTCTCAGTAGACTGAGTAAAGCAGGTTGCCCTCCCTAAAGTGGGTGGGCTTTACCCAAACAGTTGAAGATCTAAAGAGAGCAAATGGTTTGCCCTCCTGCCCCACAGCCTTGGAACTGGAAAAGCAACAGCAGCATTGGGCCTGCCTTCCAAAACACACTGAAGCACAGGCTCATCCTGGGTCTCAGCTGGACGCCTCACCCTGCAGACCTGGGGACATGTCTACTTAGTGAAGGCACAGCTGATGTGAGGTCTGCATATGTAGAA